TGAAAATCAATGTTTCTTTGAAATATACTCCGTACTCAAACGTGATTTTTTAGTAATAAGCAAAGAAACTTCAAAAAGCGGGAGCTTAAAAATTCAAAAAACGAGAAACTAAAAATTTCGTGGTTACTTTGCGAAACATTTGGCTAAGCTATTTGTTAATACCTCGTCGAACTATCCCAGATTTTTAAAAAATTATGTTTCTACGTCAATTTTTATTGCTGAGAACATGCAAGTTTATAAATTTTAACACACGAAATCAGATACGGGCGAGTCGCCGAGCGGTCCGGTCTTCCCCCACTCCATCACGCGCCGGCTTCCCCTACTCCGCCCGGCGCACTGTCTCGTTTGCGTTCCTCAACTTTCCAATAGTTTTAAACAAACTTTTTTGGCAGTAAAAAATTCAAGAATTCTTTAACAAATTCATTCAATTCTTCCTTGACAAATTGGTATCAAACAGAACTCTTAATCTTAAAAATTAGAGTCCAGTGATTCTTTACGATCTTTCTGAGTCGACGCTTATCAGTTCCTTCCTCTCTGATCGCTCTCAAAGAATAGTAATTTACAATCCTCTTTCCTTCTTTTCCTCTCCTCACACCTTGTCCTCTGGTATGTCTCGGTGCTCTATCCTTGATCCTTTATTCTTCACATTTGCTGCACACCTTGCTGTTCTTCCGCTGGATGCGAGGCTGTATATACATATATATAAATAATATTCTTCTCGTAATTTTCTTCTTGCGCTGCAATTGTTCCTTCAGTTAGTTTAAATCATAACCTTAAGCTCATCGCTGGTCTCTATCCGACAGTCTGACGCTAAATCCCAATATCTACTTTTCTCTCCATTACTACCATATCTCGTGTTCAATTCTTTAATGTTTCTCTTCATTCTGTTCCCCTCGACACTCCTTCTGTTGCTCTTATCCTTGGTTTATATGTTGATTCTTCTTGGTCGTTTGTGCATCATGTCACTCTTAAATATTATTTACATCTTTGTCTTTTGTATCTACTTCGTCATATTCTCACTGTCTCTCAAAAACTTGACTTCTTTCATTTACTCGTTCTTTCCTTATTTGATTATGTTGATATTGTTTATATACCTAGTCAACTCTTGAATTGCATTTAGCGCGTGCAAAACTGCTGCCTGCGGTTTGCGTATGGTAATCGTAAATTTGACTACATCACTCCGTTATTCAAAAAATCTGGCTAGCTAAATATTAAGCAGCACTTCATCCTTCATCTATGTTGCATGATTTTTAATGTTCTACGCTCCAATACTCTATCGTATCTTCGTGATCTTTTACATTTTAACTACGAATTTCACTCTGATTCGTTATCTGTAACTCGTTACAATGACTTTTCTTGTTCACCACTCAATCAAATTTCGTGCCCCTTTCTCTTTCATCGCGCCCAAATTCTATAATTCCTTACCTCCTGATGTTAGATCTTCCTCTTCTCTTTCTTCCTTTCGTTCTTCTAATGCTCAGTTCATTTTATCTCACAGTTAACATTGTCGATGCAAATCAAATTTATAACTTGTTAGGTTATACATTCAGCAGTATTGCTGTTGCTTTGCCATTTGCTTGCACTTTGTTCTTACCGTTACTACTTCTATGTACTACTAATTGTAATTTGTAAGCTCATGCAATACAATAAAGTATTATTATTTTCAATAACAACACATAGTGTCACGACAAATTTCTATCTGTGAAATGAGTATACTTGTAATTCATCGATTATTTTGCTGTAAAACAGAATCTGGAAATTCTCGTTCTACACTTTTTACTACATGACTTCTGACGTTCTAACATTATTATATGAAGCGTCGCTTTGATGCAAACACGATCTTTACAATCATAACACACGAGGGTTGAATTTGATTCCAACTTGATGTAACTCTGCGTCTTAAGAATATTATTAATTTTACTGAAGATGGCCAGATTGTGGCCGAAACGTTTAATGTTTTTATTGTAATTCGTAATGCAAGAATAATTAAATATCATTAACTACATCTTGTGCTGTAGTTCTTTATGCTCTTTCTTTTCATATTTTTGAAATTATAACCACATTCATTTTTTACATTTTTATTATTATTTTTTTTTTAATTATTTTCTCGCCTCCTAACAATCGGAGGGTAATTTCTTTTTAAATTCGTAGAAAAATGTCAACTATTGAATACTTCACACTATTGGCTATCACACTATGATGCATATTAATGAAATTATTCAATTTTTTTATATGAAAAAAGATACCCACTTTTCAAAATCATTTTAAAATAGTTTAACTGCAAAAAATCATTTTATTACTAACATAAGTGTACGTGATAGTGTAATCCTTGCAGAAGAAAAACCTTGTAAATTACGACTGCTCAAAAATGAAAAAATTATGTTTTCCGCAGACAGATTTTTAGTGAACGAATGACTTTTTGCAAAAACTAATGAACATTTCGGCTCGTTTAGAGCTAGATTTTTTCAATATCACAAAGATTTATTTTACGAGAATTTCAAAGCTTTGCGTTTAAATATCGATAAACAAAAAACGAATGAAGAAAAGGCTTTTTTCGGTGGTTTATATTTTTTTTTAACTTAACTAATAGACCGATCTTAATTTTCCACGTCTCATTTCAGGGTTAAACAAAATATTTAAAACGACTTATTTAAAACATGTTTAAAACACTGAGCATTATTGTTTAAAACACTTTTGTTTTAAACAATTTTAGACTATTGTTTAAAACTGTTTAAAAACACTGCAATTAAAATATGTGATTTGAAAAAGAAATTGTAAAAGAGAAATAAAAAATAATACGTATGTTGCAAAAAATTTTTTTATTTATTTATGTATATATATTTTTTTATTTATTTATGTATACATATTACTACTAGTACTACTATTACATAAATATAGACTATAAGCATAAAATAAAATAAAATTCGTTAATTTTTTAACAGAATATAAATTACATTCAATAGTAGGTTTTTTCTATTAATAATTATAAACATAATAATTTTCAAAAAAGATCAGATACAGTCTCAGTCTCAATTCTCAATATTCATATTCAATTAGATTATTTTTTTTGTTCAATGCCTTCAAAATTATTATACTAATAAATAAATTATACTAATTTTGAAGCTTTTTCTGTGCCTAACCTTAGTTTTGTGGTGCACTAATCTAAAAGCTGAAAACAATCTTTCTATGCTAGCAGAAGAAGCAATCTGCTGTATGCTAGAGTTGTGCTATCAAATGTAACAACATTGATTATTTTTTAGCTCAAGCCACCATGTTATTGGCTTAACATATTTAATGGATAATTTCCTCAGATAAATTTCGAACGGAGTTTTTGCTCGGTAGGATATAACGTCAGGCATGGCTGCAGGATGGTATAAATCAGTACCCCTGATTTATCAACTCGATTTAACTGCAGGATCAATAAGATCGATAATGAATTCGCGTACACTTTGGAAAAGCGCTCAGTGACGCTCACACAAAAAACTTATCAGCAGTAATATAAAATAAAAATAATAATAAATAAAAATAACTAATTTTTTTCAATTATTTATTATTTTTTACAGCTTCAAATATTCACACAATATTTTTTATTTGTTTAAGCAAAAACATATTTTAAACAAAAAAAAACGTTTTTTTTCTTGTTTAAAACATTTTTTTTTTTATTGTTGTGCTCAAAAAACACAAAATAAATCAGAAAATATTGTTCTAAATAAAAAAAAACAAAGTTTTTTGTTTAAAATAAAAGCAGAGTTGTTAAAAAAACAGGTTTTTTTTAACAATCCTGTTCATTTTGTAAGTATTTTGAATATCTACAGTTTTTATACGGAATTTTTTTCCATACAAACAATATCTTTCGTTTCATATGTGAAAAATAAGCTTTTTGCAACTATTCGATTTTTTTTTCACATATTTCCTACACAAGTCTCGAATTTCAAACGTGCATTTCTTTTCTGATGGCCTTCCAAAGATTTTTATGCAGAGGAATACTGGTTTACAATTTTTTTTTGATGAAATTCTATTGGACTAATGTAGCACACAAATAGTAATATATGATCTTGGCAGACTTGGCTATCCGTATATTATAATCGGGTATATATGTGCGTACGTGTCTATTGTCTCGACAAATTCGGCGAAGATAAATACTTGAGACGATTTAATCATAAAATTTTAAATATATCTACGCCGGCGGGTACGGATATATAAATTAAAGTACTAGAATTTAAAACACATTAGATACAACATTCATAAAAATTTACTTCAAAAAGCAGAATTGCCTGTTTGAATGAACAATATTTTCGACAATTTATAAAATAATTTTTGATGTATATAAATATCTTGTTTTTATTCTCGATTATTTAATCTTCAAACAATACACTAATGCGAATTCGTACTACAAAAATTTCCTGACACTTGCACATGAATAATTACCGCGGCTTATGCCAGCTACGTTAAATATGTTTTTTCATTAAATTTGAGTGATACCATCGGATTTGCGAGAAAATTATATCTCAGAAAAGAGTAATTTTAAAGAAATTTTTATTTTAATCCTCAAGAGAAACTTGCAATTAAATATGTCAAATCCCAATTCACATCTGAGTACCATTATTAGTAGGTGCTCAAGGAACGTGTACGGTTTGAAAGTTAATATACAATAATAAATACGTACAGAGATACTAGTCTAGATATGCATTAAATCGAGACATGTTAAGTGCATACGCACCGGCGAATATTTAAAATTGATTTTCTTAAAAACAAAGCTTCATATGAAAAAATTGTATTTTAAGTTTTCAATTAATTTTTTCATGTGGAATGTTCTTCTCAGTTATACTACCGATTTATGAACATCTCGTATTGATAAAATTCACTTATAAAAAGAAATGAAAAATCAGAATATATGCAACATTTCATCAGTTGCAATTTGCAGTTATAATTATTTGATGCCCCGAATTTTTGAAATGTATCAAACACATATTTCAATTAATTTCGCTTATCTTTCTTAGCACGAGGAAGTACATTGGAATTAGAACAAATACAAGAACGGTACATGAGCTGTCTGCGAAGTTTTGTCGAGCACAGCGCTCCTCAGCAGCCAGGTCGATTTCATGATCTTCTTGTCAGGTTACCCGAAGTAAGTTTAAAAAAATAAATCAATATACTAAATCTTGAAAAGAAATAATATATACGAGGGCAAATCAATAAGTACCCGTGTTAGTAATGAAGACGCAAGCTTTTCACAAAAATTTTTTTTATTTTTCAACGTAATCCCCTTTTAGGAGGATACACTTTTCCCAATGCTTCTGTCATTTTTTTAATCCTTCAGAAAAATACAATTTGTCGAACTTTGCAAAATAGGCCTCTGTTTCGGCGATGACCTCCTTATTCGACATGAATTTCTTTCCACCGAGCCATTTTTTCAAGTTTGGAAACAATAAGAAGTCACAGGAAGCTAAATCCGGAGAATACGGTGAATGCGGCAGCAATTCGTAGCGTAATTCGACCATGCTTTGAAACCGCATCCGCTTGTTGTCCATCGTGAGCAATCGCGGCACCCATCGGGCCGACAGCTTTTTTATTCCCAAGTTATCATGCAAAATATTGAATGTTCCGTACGACACTCCTATGGCCTCTACTACTTCATACACTTTCGTTCAGCGAGAATCATGTCGTGGACTTTTTCAATGATTTCCTCAGTAACCACGTCTGCCGGGCGACCTGGACGCTCCTCATCAAAAACAGACGAACAACCACGTTTGAATTCGTGATTGAACCAATATCTGGCGGTTGTCATAGATGGTAAAGAGTTCCAACTTCGTTTTTATTTCGCACGTTTTTCCATCCAAAAATAAGAAACGAATCACGGATCGATATTGCTCTTTTTCCATTGTTCTTTTTTGTCGGAAAACATCACACGCTTATTACGAATTGGTATCAAATCAAGACTATTGCATGAATCACTCTGAATTTTGTATGGCGTCATTTGAAAGAAAGTAATAGTACACGATGGTAATCCCAACCAGCAACCAGTCGCTTGTCTTGAAACACGGGTACTTATTGATTTGCCCTCATACACACACTCATACACGCGCGCGCGCGTGTGTGTGTGTGTGTGTGTATATATATATATATATATACAGGATGTTTCAGAAATAGTTGGCCAAATTTAAGAGCATATTTCACTCATTGGATGAAAAAAAGTCATATAAACATGGAAACGTTTCCTTTCCAAATTATAAACATTGTTTTATTTTATACTTATACAATATTTTATTTTATACTTACGTTTTGTGCAATGTATGGGCCGGTATTATTGAAGATTTCCTTCTTGGACCGATTTTTTTCCTACCTACACTTAATGGTAACAATTACAGACAATTTTTGGAAACGCAATTCCCTCTAATATTAGAAGACGTTTCACTATAGATAATCAAATGTGGTTCATGTATGATGAAGCTTCAGCACATTTCAGCTCCAGGGCATTGCTCAAGAGTTGAATAATAATTACATCAATAGATGAATTGGTAGAGGAGGACCTATTGGTCTGCACGTTCTCCCGATTTGAATCTTTTGGATTTTTATTTATGGGAACATCTTAAGACCCTCGTGTATAATAGTCCTGTTGCTACTGTGGAAGTACTCCGAAATTATCGCTGCATGAAAAAACATGAAATACTCCAAGAATTTTTGAATGTCTTCGGCAATCCATGCGATATCGATGCGAAGCATGCATCGATGTGGAAGAAAATCATTTCCAGCAAATTCTGTAATAAAAATATAGATATAAGTATAAAATAAAAAATAGATACAAGTATAAAATAAAAACTATCGCAGTAATATCATGAGTTAAATTGCTAGTCAATTTAACTTATGATATTACTGCGGTAGTTTAGTGGAGTTAACGTTTCAAGACCGAAAAATCATTTCTAAGAACTACGTAGTATATGAATTTATACAAGAATCATACAAGCATTTAAGATCCAGCTAGACCATTTAAGGTTTGATTTTTATAGTATGTATTATCATAGTTTGTATTATATGGTCCTACAATAATACAATATATTATATTATAAAATAAAATATAGGTATAAGTATAAAATAAAATATAGATATAAGTATAAAATAAAATATAGATATAAGTATAAAATAAAATATAAGTATACAATAAAAAAATAATATATAACTTGGAAAGGAATCGTTTCCGAACCAATATTTATATGACTTTTTTTCATCCTTACAGTGAGTGGAATATGCTCTTAAAGTTTGGCCAACTATTTCTAAAACACCCTGTACATACACTATTATACATACATACAGGGTGTCCCATTTTAAAAGACCCACTAAAATATCTCAGAAACACTGCGTTAAATCGAAAAGTGTTTCAGATGAAAGTTTTGTGACTTCGAGGGGGACATAAGATGATATTATTGGTTTGATCTTGGGTGGCGTTGTCAGGGCAAGGTTACTTCGAATTTTTTAAATGGAGCCTTCAATTTTTCATTACATGTTCTTGTAGCTTATCTCGAGAGTTTTCCAAAACATTATATTAAAAAAGAGAGAGAGAGGGAAGAAATTGCCATTTTATGGTAATTATATGCTTATGTGTCGATCACGATTCAAATAATCATGAAGATGACCGCGTGTAGCACTGAGCGCCTTCCGCTTTTTTTTATTTCTTTCCGGGGCTGGGGCGCGCTCTCTGAATCGGCCATTGCGATTGTTTTTCTTTTTGTTGCTAGCGTGTGCTAGAATCCGAAAACAAAAGCAAGAAAAGCAGATTATCTTCAAACTTTAAAGGAAAATCTCTTTCAAAACCGTGACTTTAAAAGCATGTTGGGGGGCTGATAGCCCGATTGAGGCTGTTAGCCTAACATCAAGATCTCTTAAATCTGTATTAAATATAAAAAAAGATAAGTATGGTCAATTTAATCAATATTTTCGAGCATCTGTTAAAAATCGTACATAAAGACACAGACGGCTAGCAGTCCGTTCTGTAATTGTAGCTTAAACGACTAGTAGTCCGTTTTATAATATTTTCATAAACGGCTAGAAGTATGTTCTAATATATCCTGAATCAGAGAATCACGGCTTGTAGCCGAATTTGTTGTTTTGGTTCCTTATAATTCTTTTTCTTAATATAGTCCAACTTATTCACTAATGATGTTGTGAATGTTGCTCTCTTTAAAAATTCCACTTTTTATTGTTTTAATTAAAGTGTAAAAAATATTAATAATAAATATTTTCTTCGTTATTATATTTTTAAGAATCTGTCTCATTTTTTTGTTAATTATAATTTCTACTCATAAACTTCTAATTTAACATTGCTATCGAACACACTACAATAAAGTTATTTTTTATGAAATACTTTTCAAATTATAAGATTTGAAAGTTACAATGACTTTGATCCTAACGAATGTTATTCAGAACAAGATCCTGAGCTTTTAGCCATCAGTCAAACATTTTGCGTAATGCTAATGCCTTTCAAGCCTTATAATTCGAAAAATATTTCATGAAAAATAAGTTTATTGTAATGTTTTGAAAAGCTCTTGACACCAGTTATTAGATTCTGGAATCAAAAATAAGGTATTCGATTTTTAAAAATCGATGTAACTTTGACCTGACAATCTTGGCGACGCCACCCAAGGTCAAACTGATAAGATCAATAAATAGATCTTTTTTAAGCTTATAACTTTTATCTGAAACACTTTTCTGTAAAACTTATTTTTTTCTGAGATATTCAGGTGTTCCTTTTTGAGGACGTAATTAATATGTAATTCAACTTATTTGAATATTTGATTGAATCCTGATCAAAACGATCGAGAGCGAATGACTAATTTGCTTCAATGAGCATGAATGATACAAATTCATATTTATTCTCTTGGTCTAGAGTAGCCTAGACCCGACTTATGAAGCATTTATTATTTAACGATCGAGTTTGGCTCAGCTTTCATTCGAATTGTTTTTACTCCGCGCAAAATACAATTTAGTAATTCAAATGGCTCTGTTTAACTAGAGAATCTGTCTGCTTATTTAATTACAGGTACAATCGGCGGCGACTTTACTACTCGAGAGTAAAATGTTCTACGTTCCTTTCCTATTGAACTCAGCAATTCAAAGATAGTAAATAAATAAAATGACGATGAACGAAGCTGAATACCTATATACATGCTATACATACGTTATAAAAATATATACAGAAAAAGTAAAGGAGCGAACAAACAACAAACGAACAGAAACAAAGAAAAAGGTTCAATGAAAGACAAAGAGAAACGACATTGTCGAGGGAAAGGCTTTGGATAGCGCAAAGGATGAGAAAAAGAGAAAGAGGAACGATTTTAAATAAAATATTAAAGAAAGAATATGTATATATATATATAATATGTATTAATACATAATACATATTACATATATGCATATATATAAAAGTCAAAGGAACGAGAGAGAGGGAGAGAAAGGGAGGGAGAGAAAGAAAGCGCGCCACCTCGAGATGATCAATCAATTGAGGTGGGAACTGAACTTTTTTATCGAAACTAAAAGACTATAATAATATATTTCTGTACGCAAATACGTACCGTGCAACTACGTCATTGTGTGTTCACATTGCATAATCCGATCGATAAAATAAGACTCTCGTTACGTACCGCGCTCACCGTAGGCCACCTACTACTATTACTACTACTACTACTACTACTACTACTACTACTACTGCTACTACTGCTACTACTACTGCTACTATTACCGCCACTTTCTACTACTACCGCTCTCGAAGCTAAGAAAAAAAGAAGAAACAAGAAGATATAAAGCAGCAGACACCATGAAACGACTGATTGAAAAGATCAATAATCCGAATCGATCGACTGACCGACCGATGATTGACGACAGGTTTCTCGTCATCCCGTAGTTCGATATGGTATCATCACGAATATGATCAAATTTTATTAACACACGTCCACATACACATGTGTGAACGCGCGCATGTACACTTCTAAATATCTGTCACAAAACTCGCCGCGACATACCGACGTGATCTTCTCCTCGCGATAAACGTTAAGACGTACGTAAAGAGTGTGATACTATCGTAGTTACTCTCTGCGGTACCATTAGTACTCGCACATTATCAACAGAAGTCTGTTACGAACTTTCGCGATATCGATTACGTAATTCTACTAGAAAGAGTGGAAGGGTGAAAAGACGGACTTTTACCTCGAATCTACTAAATTGGCATAGAATAACGGGATGGACGAGATTCGCGTGAAATTCAAGGATGAGAAATAAAACCTGATGAGGTTCACTGATTGACGTCTAAATAACGTAACCGCGAGAAGAAGAGCCGCAGAAGAAACGAAACTATACGTAAGAACTCCAGTGTTTCATACCCGTATCTAACCATATGCATCTGGACGCGAATTTGCTACGTACGTATATTTCATGATAATCAACATCTTTGTCGTCATCATCGTCGCCGCCGTAGCTGTCATCATCATCGTCATTCAACACTCCACAAGCAACGGTCCAAACGTGCAACGTGAAAAAGACTATTACTCTATTATAATATCGATTCGTTCATTTATGCCTTCAATGCGATTTATCGCGCTATCACGCCCATCAATCATCAGTCCTAGGATCTCTCGCTTGCGTCGCGCGTTCTTCGGACAATTCTCGAACTTCCATTTGTGACTTTTGAAAGCCGTTTACGCTAATTTTTTACTTATTTTAATGCACCAACTGTGACATAAAGTGGTTTTCATAAAGACGACTGAATTAAAACTTATAAGAACAAAATCTATAGATTGATGAAAAGGTTTTGTTATTATTGATGAATAAAATTATAATTTAAAAAATATAAAAACATAAAATTATTAATTAATAATAAGCAAGTTAGATAGATGTTTGTAAAGTTCTCTATTTTTTTAGCTACAATATCGTTGTATAAATGTAATTTTGAAATTATTTGATGGTTGAATTCTAGTCGATTTTACTTACAAGTAAACCTATCCAAGTGTTACATCGATTTTGATAAGCTTTGAATATTTTATTCTAGGCCAAAGAGACACGTATTTTTTTTTATATGTGCTCATACAGTCGTTAAGGAGATGAAACATCCTCTTAAAAAAAAAAACCAGTTTTTACATTTCTGAGCTAATATCGTCGAAATAGTAAAAAATATTACAAAAGTTTCAAATAAAAATTTTATAATTTTCAATGTATTTTATAACAATTCACACTTAGATTTTTCGAAAATATCATTTTTTTCAAAACCCCCTTCAATTTTTGAAAATTTTAAAATTTGTCTTATATAAAAACTTATAGCATATTTAACGACAAATACAACCATGTATAATAAAATTGTATTGCGAAGATGCATTTTTCGGAAATAAGCTAGACCTTTACATCGCTATTGTCGTTAAATATGCTTAATAAATTTTGCTAAAAAACAAATTTGAAAATTTTCAAAAATTGAGGAATGTAGGGGGATTTAAAAAAATATAAGTAAAGTGTTATAAAGTACATTAAAACTTTTATTTGAAACTTTTTTTTATATCTTTTATCGATTCGATGGTATTAACTCAGAAATATAAAAACCGTTTCTTTTTCCAAGAGGATGTTTCACCCCCTTAGCACATACAAAAAAATATGTGCCTCTTACTTCGACTTAAATTACAACATACTCAAAGCTTATCAAAATCGGAGTGTAACACTTGCATAGATTTACTTGTTATTTTAGTAATTCCTTTTATTATTATTTGCAGAAATTATAACATATGGAGCAGTGGTCTGCCTCACAAGGTAATAAGCAGAATTAACAATGAAAATATTATAGATATAATATATATAATATTTTTTACAAAAATCGTTTTTTGGTGTATATAATAAGATATTATAAGGAATTTGTAGATTATTTTGATAATTTTTTATATGAGATTTTATAATATTACTTTTACATTCGCTGATAAATTTTTTATTTTAACTTTTAATACACTTATATGGCATTTCTCTTTCGCATTTTTACTAGATTATCGTAAATATATACAATGTCAAAATAAGAAATGGAAAATTGAATCGTCCGCAGCACGCACGCCGTTTGTTTCTCCGATAATCGCAACTAAAGTACGAAGAACGGAAAGCTCTGTCATATTATTCCTGAAGCGATATTTTCATAGTATTATGACGAAAGAAAATAAGCGGAACGAATATATATATATATGAAAAAAAAACGAAATGCTGCATTAGCACTGGTATCCTAATATCGCGAGGGAGTTTTGCGAAATTTTATTTGGAAGTATTATTCAAACCACTATACATCAATTGTAGAAAATTGTCCTTTGTCTTTTTCTATTTCTTGTACATATATATATATATATATATATATATATCCATGTATCCGATTGTGACAATCGACTTCACGAAATTAGGACACCGATCGCTCCTAGCTCAATTTGTGAGAAAAAAATGCAGGAAGAGAGAGTAAAGAAAATTGGCGGTTGATGCCAGTCGAAATGTTATTCGTATCTTGGAAAATGCTCCTTGTATACGCGTGTAATGTATTATTGCGCGCACGTTCTGCTGACGTGATCGTTTCATCTTGCCTCTCCATAGAAGATATTGTAAACACGCGCTAATATTGCCTGACAAGTTCGTGGCCACGAGAACAATCTGGAAGATGTCTTGGTTTTTTTTTTAGAAGCTGTAGCTTAACTGTATTCTTTCTTAATTTCTTTGCAATTCTATCCAAATCTTGCACAAAGAAATATACTTTAAAACCGATTTCCTGGATTACTTAATTTAATTTTAACTTTTTTTTAGATTTTTGTTAAGCTTAAGGGGATTATTGCTATTACCGATAAAACTAGCGTTTTTGACGTTTTTGTTCCTAACGAATTTCTAGTGATTTCACAGAATAAAAATTCCTTTTCTATGATTACAATGTACATGCTAATGTACTTGTTGCTGTATTTTGTGTTTAAAACTAGAAAAATAAATTATAGGTTTCTTTATCCTCAGCGTTAGTTGCCATACTATTATAAAGATGGATAAAGAAATCTGTAATTTTTTATTTTTTCCAACTTTGGACACGAAATTTATCAGTGATAAGTACATTAGCATGAACATTTTAATCATGGAAAAAGAATTTTTATTCTGTGAAACTATTACGAAGAAATTCGACAAGAATAAAAACGTCAAAAACATTAGTTTTATCGGTATACAAGCGATTTCAGCGTCCCCTAAAAAACAAAATAACTATTGAAATAACTATTGATATAAATAACGAAAAACGATCCTAAATCGAGCTAATGACAAATATTTAATATCTGAAATATAATACTTCTTTCTATCATGAGTTAAAAACTGTATGCATCAAAATATATAAATTTATTGTCACTAAATCTATCTTTAAATTCTTTTCAGAATTCAATATTAATATATATACATTTTTATTAATAATGTCACGTTGACATGAAAATATAATTATGATGGTAATTATTATAAATCATAAAAATAACAATATATAACATTCAGGCTGGGTTGTTCGACCTTTCAATAAACTTCAATTCACTATCTTATTCTTTTACTTTCTCATACTTTTACTCTTTTACTCTTTTATTTATCTAATTAGTAAAAAATTACCACATAGTTTATCTTAAGATGGAACAATCGTCTCTCAGTCAATTAAATAAACTAATTTCTTGATATGCGATAAATTTTGTGACAGTTAATTGTGATAATCAATATTTTTTTCCTCTCTTCCTATTCTTCAACCCGTGACCACGAGCCGTACGTTCCAGAAATCAACACAAATTACAACACAGACCTTGGGCCTATTCGCCTAGGGATATTTGTCCATACTATAAGACTTAACTAAACGATGAAATACTTTATACAGTAAACATTGTATATTATTTGACATTAAGAAACGTTAGGTGTAACGGTTCCTGTATTCCCCGGACATCATCGTACGCTTGTCTCTCTGCTCAATTGGACAATCACGTGCGCGTGATAAGCTGTACTGAAAGAAAAAAATCCATTGTACACCTTGTGACCACTGATGGACAAGATACCATTAGTGAACTGAATTCGCTTATGATTGATTCGCTTGCCATGTCAGTTAGCTTCATTCGAATGAAGAAATTGGGCATTATGGGATGAGCACTGTCGCTCTGATGGAACTTAATCTTTCTTCGAAAATGAATCCACATAGATTTCCTGTCTTATACTATATTATCCAGTAACAAAAAAAGTAAATTTAGCTTTTTTTAGCTACGCTTA